CAATTCTCCTGCCTCAGCCTCCTGAGTAGCTGGGATTACAGGCACGCGCCACCATGCCCAGCTAATGTTTTGTATTTTTAGTAGAGACGGGGTTTCACCATGTTGACCAGGATGGTCTCGATCTCTTAACCTCGTGATCCACCCGCCTCGGCCTCCCAAAGTGCTGGGATTACAGGCTTGAGCCACCGCGCCCAGCTCTTTTTGTATTTTTAGTAGAGATGGGATTTCACCATGTTGGTCAGGCTAGTCTCGAACTCCTTACCTCAGGTGATCTGCGTGCCTTGGCCTCCCAATGTGCTGGCATTACAGACATGAGCCACCATGCCAGTCCTGTTATGCCTTTTGTTATTCTAATACTCTTGTGTAATATGGGATAATAGAACTGAGTAACTATGATACTCAAAATTTATAATTCAGGGTATCACTGAAAACATTCTCAGAGTGTTGAAAAAAGGTATACAGGCTGGGCGTGGTGGCTCATGCCTGTAATCCTAGCACTTTGGGAGGCTGAGGTGGATCACCTGAGGTCAGGAGTTCAAGACCAGCCTGGCCATCATGGTGAAACCCCATCTTGAAAAAAAAGAAAAAGGTATACAAGGCCGGGCGCGGTGGCTCAAGCCTGTAATCCCAGCACTTTGGGAGGCCGAGGCGGGTGGATCACGAGGTCAAGATATCGAGACCATCCTGGTCAACATGGTGAAACCCCGTCTCTACTAAAAATACAAACATTAGCTGGGCATGGTGGCACGTGCCTGTAATCCTAGCTACTCAGGAGGCTGAGGCAGGAGAATTGCCTGAACCCAGGAGGCGGAGGTTGCGGTGAGCCGAGATCGCCCCATTGCACTCCAGCCTGGGTAACAAGAGCGAAACTCCGACTCAAAAAAAAAAAAAACAAAACAAAAAAAACAAACATGTGCCTTATGCTCTGTCCCCCCAAAATATCTAGAAACAATAACCAACACAGTGGCAATGGGCATTCTAGAAGTTAGATTCTGGTCTTGTAGTGCCAATCACTACTAAAAGGAACCAGGGTTTTTTTTCCTAGAAATAGCTGATTCCAGGTTTGGAGCAAGAAATGTACAAGATAAGTCTGGAACTTCTATCATATTACATAGCAAGGAAGTTGTCAAATACTACCAATGTATTGAAAGGACTCAGGAGCCAACTTAGCGAGATCCCACTGGCCAAAAATAAGGACAATTTGAGCATCAGTAAGTTTAATAATTGCAGTGAACTGAAACATGAAATATGCTCAATTTAGTGATCATGATACAAAAACACTAAACAACAACTACTAGTCACCTAAGGAGGATACTACTAAACCAACTTATTATTTTGAAAAAGGCAAAGAGAGAGTATCTGGATATTTATCTTCTTTTTCCAATATGAACTTTAACTCTGGGTTAAAACAAACAACAGATGAGTGAACATCTCTCTTCATAAGGTATTTTAGGTACCATACAAATAAAGAGTAATTAGAACATCACCATTTTACAACCCTTGATGAATTAATGAAGGCAGACATTTTTAATGACTGTAACATACAAAAAGAAAGCCAACCAGACATCATGAAAACACATTTCCTGTGAGGTTTTCTTCCCACAAAATCTGAATCCAATCACACCTCTAGATCCATTCTTAATTAACAGGAAATACAAACAATAGAGAAAACTGTTAGAAATGACATATAGAGATATAACCATTAGCTGAGCATGGTGGCGCATGCCTATAATCCCAGCTACTCGGGAGGCTGAGGCAGGAGAAAAAAAAAAAAAAAAGAATCAGTAAAACTCAGAGTATGAGGAATCGAGATAGAGACAGAAGTTACAGGCTCAAAGAGATTTAAGAGATATGCCAATCAAATGCAATGTATGGACCCGGATTGGATTCTTTTTTTTTTTTTTTGAGACAGAGTCTCTCTTTGTCACCCAGGCTGGATTGCAATGGCGCATTCTGGCTCACTGTAACCTCTACCTTCTGGGTCCAAGCAATTCTCTGACTCAGCCTCTTAGGTAGCTTGGACTTCAGCAGGCGCCACCAGGCCCAGCGAATTTTTCTATTTTTTGTAGAGACAGGATTTCACCATGTTAGCCAGGCTTGCCTCAAACTCCTGGCCTCAAGTGATCCTCTTGCCTCGGCCTCCCAAAGTGCTGGGATTACAGGCTTGAGCCACCGCGCCCGGCGCACAAATCTATTTATAAAAGAAGATACTTGAACAGTTAGAAATTTTAAAATTTGGCCGGGCCTGGTAGCTCACACCTATAATCCCAGCATTTGGGAAACCAAAGCAGGTGGATCACAAGGTCAGGATTTCGAGACCAGCCTGGCCAGCATGGTAAAACCATGACTTAACACACTCACTGGAAATATGCAATGATGGGGAGTGAGAGATGAATCTGGGATAACTTTCAGGTGTCTAGCTTGAGGGATAGAATGGGTTGTAGTGCTTTTGTTAGGGGCATATGAACCAGAGCAACTCCATCTTAAATAGGAGCTAGGGAAAATGAGGCTGAGACCTGCTGGGCTTCATTCCCAGATGGTTAAGTCATTCTAAGTCACAGGATGAGATAGAAGGACTGCATAAGATACAGCTGTGTCATAAAGACCTTGCTGATAAACAGCTTGCAGTAAAGAAGCTGGCTAAATCCCACCAAAACCAAGATGGCAATGAGAGTGACCTCTGGTCGTCTTCACCACCAGTGCTATGACAGTTTACAAATGCCACGTCAATGTCAAGAAGTTATCCTATAAGATCTAAAAAGGGGAGGAATAATCCACCCCTTGTTTAGCATATCATCAAAAAATAACCAAAAAAATGGGCAACCAGCAGCCCGTGGGGCTGCTCTATGGAGTAGCCATTTTTGCATTCTTTTATTCTTTTTATTTTTGAGACAGAGTTGGAGCACCTGTAGTCCCAGCTACTCAGGAGCCTGAGGCAGGGGAAGCTCTTGAACCCAGGAGGCAGAGGTTGCAGTGAGCCGAGATTGTGACAATGCCCTTCAGCTTGGCAACAGAGCAAGACTCCATCTCAAAAACATAAATCAATAAAAATTTAAAAACCAGAAGTTCTAGCCCAGAACTGGAGTGTAGTGGTGCCATCTCAGCTCACTGCAACCTCCGCCACCAGGTTCAAGCAATTTTCCTGTCTCAGCCTCCTGAGTAGCTGAGACTACAGGCACACACCACCACGCCTAGCTAATTTTTATATTTTTAATAGAGATGGGGTTTCACCATATTGGTCAGGCTGGTCTCAAACTCCTGATCTCAAATGATCCACCCAACTCAGCCTCCCAAAGTGTTGGGATTACAGGTGTGAGCCACTGCATGCAGCCTCCTTTACTTTTTTTGTTTTTGTTTTTGGTTTTTTTTGAGACAGAGTTTCACTCTTGTTACCCAGGCTGGAGTGCAATGGGGCGATCTCGGCTCACCGCAACCTCCGCCTCCTGGGTTCAGGCAATTCTCCTGCCTCAGCCTCCTGAGTAGCTGGGATTACAGGCACGCGCCACCATGCCCAGCTAATTTTCTGTAGTTTTAGTAGAAACGGGGTTTCACCATGTTGACCAGGATGGTCTCGATCTCTTGACCTCGTGATCCACCCGCCTCGGCCTCCCAAAGTGCTGGGATTATAGGTGTGAGCCACCGCGCCCGGCTTACTTTTTTAATAAACTTGCTTTTGCTTTGCATCGGGGACTTACCTTGAATTATTTCTTCCTCCAGATCCAAGAACCCTCTCTTGGGGTCTGGATTGGGACCTCTTTCCTGTAATACTTTTACCAGATTGAGGTAGAGGAGGTGCGTTTATGAAGAGCAAGGAGAGTTGGGTTTTGGTCATGTTGAGTTTGGGGTGCCTATGGTACACCTGGATTGGACTACACAGAAGGGTGATGGAAATAGTGACCTCAAGACAGATGTGGGGGTGGGGGTATTGGGTCACTTGATAACATCATGAGGAGAAACTGAATAGGAGGGATTGCAAAGGGGCTGGAGGAATGGTGTCTCTATTAAAAAAAGAATAAAAAAAAAAAATACAAACATTAGCCGGGACTGGTGGTGGACACCTGCAAGTAATCCCAGCTATTCAGGAGGCTGAGGCAGGAGACTTGCATGAACCCAAGAGGCAGAGGTTGGGGTAAGCCAAGAAGTTCTGGCTGGGCATGGTTGCTCACACCTATAATCCCAGCACTTTGGGAGGCTGAGGTGGGCAGATCACGAGGTCAGATCAAGACCATCCTGGCTAACATGGCGAAATCTCATCTCTGCCAAAATACAAAAAATTAGCCGGTCATGGTGGCGCACACCTGTAGTCCCAGCTACTCGGGAGCCCGAGGCGGGGGAATCACTTGAACCCAGGAGGCAGAGGTTGCAGTGAGCTGAGATTGTGACACTGCACCCCAGCCTGGCAACAGTGCAAGACTCCACCGCAAATAAATAAATAAAAATAAATAAACTAGAAGTTCTAGCCCAGAAAGAGGTCCAAAAAAGTTTATTTTATTTGAGACAGAGTCTTGCTCTGTTGTCAGGCGCCAGGCTAGAGTGCAGTGGCGTGATCTTGGCTCACAGCAACCGCCTCCTGGGTTCAAGCAATTCTCCTGCCTTAGCCTCCTGAATAGCTGGGACTACAGGCACACGCCACCACACCCAGCTAATTTTGTATTTTTTTTTTGTTTAGTAGAGACGGGGTTTCACCATGTTGGCCAGGCTGGTCTTGATCTCTTGACCTTGTGATCCGCCCACCTTGGCCTTCCAAAGTGCTGGGATTATTGGCGTAAGCCACCGCGCCCGGCATCAGAAAAGTTTTTATTACACTTTAAGTTCTGGGATACATGTGCAGAACGTGCAGGTTACATAGGTATGTGTGTAACACATACCACATGTGCCTTGGTGGTTCGCTGCACCCATCAACCTGTCATCTACATTAGGTATTTCTCCTAATGCTATCTCCTCCTCTAGCCAGGCCTCCCAACCCCCAACAAGCCCCAGTGAGTGATATTCCCCTCCCTGTGTCCATGTGTTCTCATTAGAAAAGCTTTTATTTTTATTTTAGTTTTTTTTTTTGAGACAGAGTCTCACTCTGTTGCCAGGTGCCAGGCTGGAGTGCATTGGCACAATCTCGGCTCACTGCAACCTCCGCCTCCCGGGTTCAAGCAATTCTCCTGCCTCAGCCTCCCGAGTAGCTGGGACTACAGGCGCACGCCACCACGCCCAGATAATTTTTGTATTTTTAGTAGAGACGGGGTTTCACCATGTTGGCCAGGACGGTCTCGATCTCTTGACCTCGTGATCCACCCGCCTCAGCCTCCCAAAGTGCTGGGATTACAGACTTGAGCCACCGCGTCCGGCAGAAAAGCTTTTAAAAGGAGGAAATGCTTGGACTCCTACCTCACACACTATACAAAAATTAACTCGAAATACATCAAAGACCTAAAATGAAGAGCTAAAACTATTTAAAACTTGTGGAGCACACAGTTGTAAATCTTCATGACTGTGGAGTAGGCAATGGTTTCTTAGATATAACACTAAAAGCACAAGTAATCAAAAATAAGTAAATAGGACTTCATCAAAATTAAAAACTTGGCTTGTCAAAGGACGGTATAAAGAAAGTGGAGTAGGGCCAGGGGTAGTGGCTACTCCTGTAATCTCAGCATTTAAGGAGGCTGAGGCAGGAGGATCACTTGAGTTCAAGACCAGCCTAGGCAACGTGGTTAGACTCCATCTCTACAAAAAAATTTAAAAATTAGCTGGGTGTCATGACACGTCTGTAGTCCCAGCTATTCAGGAGGCTGAAGTGGGAAAATCACCTGAGCTCAGACACCCAAGTTTCAGTGAGCCGTGTTCATGCCACTGCACTCCAGGCTGAATGACAGAGTGAGACCCTATCTCCAAAAACAAAACAAAAAGTAAAAAAAAAAAAGACAACATACAGAATGAGAAGATTATGGATTTTATAAAGATCTAATATGGAAAATACATAAAGAACTCAAGCTCAGTGTGGTGGCTCATGCCAGTAATCCCCAACACTTTGGGAGGCTGAGGCAGGTAGATCACTTGAAGCCAGGAATTTGAGACCAGCCTGGCCAACAGGGAGAAATCCCATCTCTACTAAAAATTCAAAAATTAGACCAGGCGCGGTGGCTCATGCCTATAATCCCAGCACTGTGGAAGGTTAAGGTGAGTGGATCACCTGAAGTCAGGAGTTCAAAACCAGCCTGGTCAACATAGTGAAATCCCATCTCTACTGAAAAATACAAAAATTATCCACTCAAAAAATCCCTCAGCTTAAGCGTCTTCCCTGAGGATGACCATGGCACTTCCAGCTGTTAAAAAAAAAAAAAAAAAAAAAAAAAAAAAAAAAAAAAAATTAGGCCAGGCATGGTGGCTCACACCTGTAATCCCAGCACTTTGGGAGGCCAAGGTAGGCAGATCACCTGAGGTCAGGAGTTTGAACCAACCAGCCTGGCCAACATGGAGAAACCCCCTCTATTAAAAAAAATTTAAAAATTTAAAATAAAAAAAAAATACAAACCTTATCTGGGCGTGGTGTAGACATCTGTAATCCCAGCTACTCAGCGGCTGAGGCAGGAGACTTGCTTGAACCCAGGAGGCAGAGGTTGGGGTGAGCTGAGATCAAGCCACTGCACTGCAGCCTGGGTGATAGAGCAAAATTCCATCTCAAAGAAAACAAACAAGAAAAAGGCTGGGCTCAGTGGCTCAAGCCCATAATCCCAGCACTTTTCGAGGCCGAGACAGGCAGGTCACCCATGGTCAGAAGTTCAACACCAGCCTGGCCAACAGGGTGAAACCCTGTCTCTACTAAAAACACAAAAATTAGCTGGGTGTGGTGGCACCCTCCTGTGGTCCCAGCTACTTGGGAAGTTGAGACAGGAGAATCCCTTGAACCCAGAAGGAGGAGATTTCAGTGAGCTAAGATCGCACCACTGCACTCCAGCCTGGTGACAGAGCAAGATTCTGTCTTAAAAAAAAAAAAAAATTAGCAGGGCATGGTGGTAGTCACCTGTAACCCCAGCTATTCAGGCGGCTGAGGCAGGAGAATCGCCTGAACCTGGGAGGCAGAGGTTGCGGTGAGCCGAGATCACACCATTGCACTCCAGCCTGGGTAACATGAGTGAAACTCCGTCTCAAAA